TTGGACTACTACTGGGGGAACAAACACAGGATTTGGTGGAAAAACTTGTGCTTGTGGTCCTCTTGGTCCATAGGGTGGTATATTTGGGACTGGTTGTCCCTGTGTTGCAGGTTGCTGTTGGGGGTGTGGGTAACCTCTTTGAGCCTGTCTTGCGAAGGGACCTGCGAAAGGTGCTGGAACAGGCGTTGTATCCCTTCCATTTGTGGGAAAACCTTTCAATCCCCCGGGTATAAACTCGAATAAGGGATTATTGTACCCCCTAGTGCCAGGTATGGCTTTGAACATGGGATTTGGAACCATTCTTATGCCATTTTCTTGTGCTGGGCCAGATCCACCAACTTGCATGGCTTCACTGTTAAACATTGAGGCATTTTGGCCTACTATAGGCCTCGAAATGGATTCGTACCAAGACTGAGGTGGTGGTCTTTCATGACTCTGATTCCTAGTTTGACCATTAGAATGTCCATTAACTTGCATAGGTTGTTTATCTCTAGCCAATCTTTGTTGAGGGACATTTACTTCCTCTATGTGTCTTGCATTTGTTGGTTGGTGGTTATTCATTCGATCAAAAAAGGATGTTCCCCACCTTTCCATTGTGTTCATTAATTGCTGTCCCATGGCATTTACTAGGCCATCCCATGGATTTATTGGCTGAGTAGATGGCACAGTAGACGGTCCAATTCCTTGGTTTCGTCCAATACTATGAACATGTGGTTCTTGATCCAAAGTGTTGGTCTGTTCGACCAAAGGTTCTGATAAAATAAGAGTTTCCACAGGATGTGTTATCACATTATCCCCTGGATTAGGTATTTCTATCTCTCCTTCCATGCCTTCTTCCAAGCGTTCATTTTCTCCTTGTGTCCTACGTCTAGCCATTTCAATTGGTCTCATTGGGCGTGCCAAAAATATATGTTGGCTTTTTGGCTTTCGAAGGTTATTTTTGTAATTGTGAGCGTGCCAACAAAGATCAATCAGTCCTTACAGAATTTTAATTGCCAACCAATTATCTGACGATTGGGTTGTAGCTCTTTCAGCCTCAATGAAGAGGACTTTTACTGGTGGCTTGATTTAAGAGAATTGAAGCACAAGAACAGTTAAATAAAGAGCAATTGAAGCATTTCATTAGTATGAAAAACTTACAATGATCCAAAACCAGTCTCGTAGAGGTTTACAGCGACAATCTATTTGAAACTACTCCTATGAATGAAGTGCAGTGCAGGAATTTAAAGTACAGGAATGTAAAAAACAGGAAATGTAAGACTGAAAAGGAAAATAAGTAGAATAAGACTAGTTTTTTAGATCTGAGTCTGGGGGTCTTTTTGTGGGCCTTATATGCTATTTATACTTCTCAAGGATGACCATCGAACTGCATTTCTAACTGTTGAACTGCTCCTCCATGATCGCTGATCATGTTGCCTTATAATTAGCTCCACTATGCTATCACTTGCAGTTAGGCTTCCCTCTTAAATTTGAATTTAAGTGTGAGTAACCGTTGAAGCCACATCACCTTACATCTCTTTGTTGATCCACTACTACTCAGATCTTGTAATAACCAATACTAATTACCACGTGTACGATCAGGATCGAAGACTTGAATAGTCTTCCTGTATTACCCTTATTCTGCCACGCGTCGAATTGTAATTAACTTGTACAAAATATGTAGCCAACATTACCCCCCACTAATATACCCAATACTTGGTGATATTAGTGGATCTAGGTCTTTTATCCACATCTTAGAACGTGCATGGACTTTGCATTCTTTCAGAAATGTAACTGTCATTCATCATCTGCATTAAACTCTCCTTCAATCTTTTGAATACCCCACCACCTTAGTATTCGAACAGACTGATATATATTTTTTATGGCCGAATCGATTTTTGCCTTCATTGATCGAGCACGCGAAGAGTCATCTGATGATGTTGTTTCTCCTCGAAAGAACCTCCATGGATTAATTAGCCACCTTTACCCACCTTTCTATATTCAGGTCATGAATGCCTTTGCAAATTATCAACCCTTGGACTACGAACACATTGCCCTTAATCTTTTGATTCAGAAACTTACAAATATGGACATGGGAAGTTCTTCTTCTGACTCACCCTTGGACTACAATGAACTCCTTTCAATCCTTTGATTCAGAAAGTCGCAAATATAGACATGGGAAGTTCTTCTTCACAACCCTCTACATGGGATGTGGCTTCTTCTTTCTCTAGGGTTTCTGATTGGGCAAGCTGGTCGAAACCTGAGGCCTATGATTTGAGGGAGCAAATTAACCATCATTTCGTCGAGTTCACTGATCCTTTAGAGTTTCCTTCCTATGCGCGAAGCTCGGTGGTTTATCCTTACGTGCCCATCGACCGACGACGCATTTTGGAGGAGAATATGCTTGTAGCATGGTACACATCCTCCATGCCTACAAAGATAGTGCACGCTGCCCGACGCCCAGAAGAGGCACAAGGGTACGATCCATCGTTCTTAGCTTAGAAGGCCAAGCTTTGCTCTTCTGACTGGCTCGATTATATTAATGCCCTTGTTCCTTCTGCCCCTGCTCCTTCTCTCGACATGGAAGCTCCTATACCTCCTCATCCACCAAATCCTTGCTGGACTGAGAGACTGAGGCTTGTCCTCTCTACAGATAAGGTCTTTTCTCCTTACAAGCCTCCACTTTCCCCTACTCCAGCTGAGTGGAAGCAAGCCCAATTTCTGCTTGCGGCCTTTTCTCATTTTCCTTTCAATGTTCTTAAGGACGATGTTCCTTTCAAGAACCTTCGATGGGCTTGTGATATTCTGACTCGGGGTCACGTCCTCAACCCCCTCGCCTAAGTAGAACTTCATATGTTTTTGGACCAACTTCCGCTGCTTCTTCACTGGCATCGAACTTCTGTGGCCACCACTCAATCTTTGGACCAACTCTCCGCCCTTCGAATTGATGCCCAGTACGAAGCAGAGAACTTCATTGAAGAATTCGATAACTTCAAGAATAAAGACTCTGCGTACTGGGATGACTTAGAGGATTGTGTTTTAGTTCTTTCAGCCTCAATGAGGAAGACTTTCACTGGTGGCTTGATTTAGGAGAATTAAACAAGATAACAATTAAATGAAAAACAATTGAAGCATTTCATTAAAACAAAAAACTTACAATGATCCAATTCAGCTTTGTAGAGGTTTACAGTAACAATCTACTTGAAACTATTCCTATGAACGAAATGCAGTGCCAAAATTTTAAAGTACAGAAATGTAAAGAACAGGAAATGTAGAATTGGAAATAAAGTAAAATAAGACTGATTTTTTGGATCTGAGTCTGGGGGTTTTTTTGGAGGGCCTTCTCTGCTATTTATACTTCTCAAGGATGAGCGTCGAACTACATTTCCAACCGTCGAACTGCTCCTTTATGATCGCTGATCATGTTGCCTTATA